CCCTACACAACTCCGTTTATTCGTTTACAAGTTGTCAGCTTCACTTCACTTTTTGTTTGAGTTTGCAGGTTGCGCTCCCTAATGTTGCATAAAAAATGATTTCCTTTTTCACAATTAGAATGTTTGAACGAATGTAAAAAGCATTTTACATGCTAACAATTGTCACCTCTTCCACAAACGCATGGATATAAACAGTTTCAACAAAGACCTAAAAATTAGCCAACGATAATATACAATAGCCCCTTCATGCGTTACGAAAACTCACCAACGACTATCTGGCCGAAAGCCTGTTTAAATTGACTTTTGCAGGACAGACCGAAAACAGCTATAAGCTAAGCTACTATATTATAATGATGTAAACAATGTTGCGTCTTTACGCCAAAAGAGTGGAAGTTTAACTACAGTCACTCTCTCGACATTTCTTTAGTAATTGTGACATTTGTCGTTTTTGTCACAATATCTGTTGTCGTGGACGCAGGTCAGATCAGATAAAGAGGCGGACTCTGTGGTTCTGAGCCGCTCCTTGTTTCAAGAACGGCACTAATACCAAACAAAGTTATAACTAACGTTTCCGAGAAAGATGTCTTCTCCTTCATCACTGTCTCCATCTGACAAGTCAGGCTCCCCTGTCTCTGGCTCCTCAGATGCGGAGAACGGTGGTGGACTACGGTCTGCACTGGCCGCCATAGCCTCTGTTGTTGCACTGGTGACGTAGGCGGAAGTGAAGCGATAAGAGAATGCAGGGACAGCCGCAGTGACATCTGCTGGTACCCGAGCAAAATTACAGTGAGGCACAAAGAAGCGGGGAAGTGAGGAGTCTGACAGTGTTCGGCCACTGTCATTCTTTTTGAATTGATTTCAGTAAAGTCAGTTTGAATGACCTTTGAAGCGTTTCTATAATATTCAATGTAAAATCGGTTTGATTCCCCACCTATTTATAGTTTCATCAACAACTTTTTCTGTAAATTCTTATCCATTTATTCTTATTCCCTGTGGTTTCATAAAAGGTGTGGGGTGTTCTTTTAAAGTTTGGGTGGGAGTATATAAACATAGACATATAGACATATTATTTAATAATAATATTTTTATGAATCCCACACTTGGAAAATTCTTGTGTTGACAGGTGATCTGCTGCAAAAGGGTGCATCGTGAAATGTACAGTATGTGGGCTCGAACCCAGCACCTTCTGCATGAGAAAAAATAAGCTATGTATTAGCAGAGCTCTACAAGCCTCAATGGTAATCCTAAAGACATTCACCTAATCCTGATGTGACATCCTTGTTAGTTGTTACCTAAAACTCAATGTTTACTGGTCAGAAACAACTTTTAATTTAGCCTAAATGATAAGGAAATATGCTCAGGTTAAATATGTTACAACCACTACCTCATATTTGTTTTAATTTATCAATCTAGTAATCATTTTTGTACCATACAGTTTACACATTGAATCTTTGTTTGACAACATGCATGTGACTAACACACAAGCTGAAAAATACTTCCTGGTAATTGATTCTGCCTATCATAGAGAATAATTAATAAATACATGGTTTATCTGTTCATTTATAGAACCTGACTTTTACAGCAATTGTCAAAATACACAGCAGACTTTCTGTGTAGTATTTGCTGAAGGAGCTGTATCTATTCAATAACCAAACGGACATCTTTGTGATAATAGGAAAAGAAGACACACAGAATGATTCACTTTGTTAGTATTCATAATAGTGTGTATACACAATGTATAGGAGCACCAATAAAAAACATCTTTTTTTCCAAACCTTTTTTCAGTATTTTTTAAAAAGCCACAGATATTTTCTTTTTTCTACAGAAACCAAAGAAAGCTCTGTACATTAACAAGCAACAACAGAATTTCTCATCATCACCTGCAAAGTCACAAACTCTGCTGCTCAAATTCATATCATCTCCGATGCAAAATGACAACTTTAAAAAATCAAAAAACAAAAATTATAAACAAGACCAGCTGCCTGCTGCTTTCCTATGACACTACAATACACAAACAGCTTTTGATATTCAAAACACAAGATATGTAAGAAATGTACTTTTCAGAAAGTGTGAAAAAGTGCAACAACGGTTCAACTGTTTACTACTCAACAGATTTTTTTCCCAAAACGGATCCCATTTTGTTTTCTCTCCCTCTTTGTTGCTGATCCTATTTTTCAACCACAACAGAACTTGTTCCTTGTACTGAAATCTCTTACAGTTAGAATGGCATTTATGATGATGTACACTAATGAGAAATGGTATTCACAAAAGTAGAGGAAAAGACTGTGATTGCAAATGACACGTTTCTTTGGGTAGGAGGGTGATGAAAAACTAGAGTCTGACATTGTTAAAATCATATTTCTGAATATAACAGGCCTCTTTTTCTTTTTTTTTTCTTCATACAAAAACTACCATGTAAAAAGAATTCTGGGAGGCCTACTCGAAAGGCCGACACTTCTGCATCTTGTCAAACTTTTAAAAGAACTTGGGTGCATCGTCTTCAAATACAACAGGAAAACTGACAGCATATACATTCTGACTTGGGCAAGTTGCACATTTGGACCATGAGCACAGAAACCTGACACCAAAAACTGATTTCCAAATAACGGGTAGGGTGATAACATTATTTCTGGGTTTCAGGAGAAGCTGGGTCGAGGCCTGAGTCTGCTCTTCAGACCAGTGAGAAAAAGTCCTGCAGAGTTGACATCCTGTGGAAGGTTGTTTTGTTTTGTTTTTTTATTATTCCCATGACCCCAACGTACAAACTCATAAATTAGGCTTTTAAAACTGAGCTCCCATAAAAACAAAACTTTTCAACACAACACCAGACATGAATGTGCTGTAGCATTAGCTAACAAGTTCCTGTTGATATATATAAACTGAACTTCAGGACAGGTTGAAATCCCACTTTCATTCCAAATAATATTATTAATGATAAATGATTATGAAACAATGGGAAACATCAAACAAATGAAACTGTTTTTAAAAAACACTTATGTACATTTTTATAAGAATATGTGTGTAAAAATATATATATAACAGTAAATAATAATAATAAAAAAAATGTCACAAAACATGTGACACAAGGGGATGAAAATGAACAAAATATGATAATACAATATGAACAATGTGAGCTTGTGAGAGGAGGCTGATATCTGATGTTCACATCACTGAAACTGCCCAATAATTTTACAAAATGCACAAAGAAAACACTAATCAAACAAACACTGAGTGTAGACTGTGCTGCAAAAGCACCAACATCAAAACCAACAGATTTTTGGACTTTCTCCATTTGACTTGACACTGAATCGTCCATTGTCTTGAAAAAGAAAAAAACAACAAAAACTACCGTACGTATTTTTGCTGAGGAAAAAATTCACAATCTTCTGGTTGAAAGCAACCAATACTTTATGTTCATTGTCTCTGAGAACGGTTCTTCATAAAAAGATGTCTCACTTTTTCCCCTTTTGTGGCGAAACTCCTGAGACTGAGCAATGTAAGCCAAAAAAGTTCCTAAGTTTCAGTCTGGACTTTTTTTTCCTGTAGGGGGGAAATGGGAGTTTCTATTGGGCTCAACGGGCCGTTCTGTGTCCAACAGCCGCAAGCTCAAATGATTTGGATGTGTGCGTTGTGGGCGAGAAGTATAGTGTCTGTGTGTGTGTTTGCGGGTGTGTGTCATGCTCATGGCGCTGTGGTGATAGCATTCAGGTCCTTCATAAGGCCCTCGAGGTGGGCCATCTCCTCAGTCAGCTCGTCGGGCTCATAGCTCTGAGGGAGAGGAACAGGGTTACTGCGAGAGGCAGGAGAAGGGCAGGGGGGGAGGGAGGCAAGCACCTGGAGGAGGCAAGGGTGGAGAAGAGAGGAAAGCAGAGGAGGAGAGGGTCAGTCTTTTGCAGAGGTTAGGAGGAATCAAATCAGCAGGGTAAGGCGAGCCAGCGTGAATGGGTCAAAGGGACTGTAGCAATGGAAGAGATAACAGGACAAGGAAAAGGCAGCAGACAAAAGAAAAACATTCAACACATGACAAAATGAATGTTTAATTATCAGGCATTAACGGTTGGTGACAAACGGTGAGGATTCAACGGACAAAAACAACAAATTATTTAAAAATGAAAATGTATTGATCAAATTCAGCCAACAACGAATATGAGAGTGTGGAGTTGGGAAGAACAGGAAGAGAGAAAGAGCAGAAAGGGAAATGTGTTTAGAACCAGTGTGAAGAGATAAACTGTAATATAAAAGAACACAAACCACAACGTGAACTTGAAATGTATGTGTGACTGTGACAATATCGACAAGTAATATACTACAGTGCAATAAAGCAACTTAGGGGCTAATTTTCTTCAATGTTACCAAGAGCGGCCAGTGGGAGGCACTATACTCACGTTGTCCACATCTTCCAGCATCTTGCTGGTCTCGGGCACATCAGGGGCGTTGGGCACGTTGACTATCATCGGTGACCGTGTTCTGCCCAGCGTTCCAATGGAGGCTGTTTTTACAACATGAGGGTGAGTGGGAGGCACTGTGAACAAAAAACACACAAATACAACAGTCAGTGAAAACAACACAGAGTGGGAATCAAACAAAAAGCTCTCTGTGTTCACACAAAGAATGTCCAAGTGGAACCAATGTGACTAAACATACAGCATGAACTGGTTGAAACTAAGGCTTCAGTGAGAAAAAGGAACAATTGATCAAATATAAACTGGCTGTTGTTAATGTCCGAGTCTGCAAGTAATATATTCACTCAAACAAAGTTCTATGCAATGTGAACCAGTTTGTTATACAGTAAAACACTGTACTTTTTTCACCAAGTCAGTTTGAAAGTGCAGTGTGTAAAAACCTGAACAAATACTGTTTTAAATGTCTTCTTTATTTTCTATTATAATTTAATGTTGTGTAATTTGGAAATTCTTTCTTTTTTAAAAAAAACAAACAAACTACAGAATGTAACTCCAGACCATACTAACGTACTGATCTACATCTACTTAAATATTGTAATTTAGGTGTAAGATGCTGCAAACCTTCTTATTATCCACTTTGTTCAGCAACACATGGTGTGCTGTAATTTTCTGATTGCAATTGTAATTTATAACATTCACAGGTGAAATGCTTAAGTAACTACAACAGTTCACCGTCACATGTTCACTTTGTAACAATTAGACTGTTTTGTGAATGAGAAGTGGAACAACTCTGTATACTACTGTGGAAGGTGTGCGCAGGAAAGGAATAAACTGCTCTTCATGCATCAAGACTTGTTTTAATATTCTCAGCCCCTAAAGACAGCCTCTTATGTGTTTTTAAGAAAGGCTTGGTTTTGATAGACTTTCAACGTCTGCTGCCAAGTTTCTGTTTTGACAGAATGGTACAACAATAAAAAGGGGCCCCACCCACATAAACCTGATCTACGAACCAACAACAAAGAAAAAAAAAAACAACCAAACAAAAAAAAAAAAAAACAACCAAACAAACAAAAAAAAAAAAAAACAACCAAACAAAAAAAAAAAAAAACAACCAAACAAAAAAAAAAAAAACAACCAAACAAAAAAAAAAAAAACAACCAAACAAAAAAAAAAAAAAACAACCAAACAAACAAAAAAAGCCCAGCATGAGTGGGAATGTGGGAATATGAAAATGTGTTAGGGAGTATTTACGGGGTTTTTTCTGAATGTGTGAAAAAGTGTGTTCTCACCAGTCTGAGCCAGGAGCGGCGTGCTGGGTAAAGCAGACGACTCATATGTTGGATGCCCAGTTCCTGGGTATGCAGGCACTGCAAAACTTTTGAGTGGGTGAGCATGAGCGTGAGGATGTGCTGAGCGGATGGGAGGCAGGTTACTGGAGTAGCCAGACTCCTCCTCCGTAGTGCTGGAGCCGTGGTAACTTCCCTCAGGATCTGCAAGATACTCCGAGGGGCAGGAGACCTGGGAAGAAGCTGTGGCTGGAGGGAGCGGCTCTGAACATGGGGTGTTCCTCACTGACTCTGGAGACGGGAGGTGGATAATTGGGGGAAATGATGAGTACAGATAGTTTGCATTTATATGAAAAGGAGACACAAGATATTTATGGAGAAGTTCCTTATTAAGGCAAAAAACACTGAGGAGACAAAGAGCCTAATGTACAACTACAGAAAAGAAAACTAGGGATAATAAGTAACAATTTTATTCTATTTTAAATGCAGTAATACAAAATGCCAAATTCCCTTTTTGTTCAAATATGCAGAAAATACCAATCTCAACTATGACTCTGATAAATGATTCTGATAATTACCAGATCAAATGTATAGTCATTATAGTATAGTCATGTTTCAGAATTTGAACAACTTTTGATATCAACGGCGGTGCATTGTTTCTCCTACTTCTGACTTTTTAAAGATATAAAGACTTCATTTCTCTCTCATAATTTTAACTCTATTTTCTCACTGGTAAAACAGGCTTCAGCTGGTGAGAGGATACAGATCAGAAACTACATCATGAACGTTATGGGCTGTGATAAGGAAATGTGTATTCCTCTGGTTTTTCATTTGTGCGCTCGCGCAGTAGGAAAAGCATACAAATCTGACGGGGAATACAAATCTGTTAGACCATCGGCAACATGTGGACGAATGAGAATGAAAAAAAAAATCAATGGATGACTATGAGTTTTGTACTCCCAGTTAGTGCCTCAGCGGTCCAGCAGGGGGCAGCCTCTCACCTGTAGAGTCCACCCTCTCTAAATGGGAGATGGGGGTGGCGCACACATGCGGGCGCTGGTGCCCACTGCCCTGATGGTAGAGGTAGCTTCGTGTTGGCGATGCCAGGCTGCCCATGTGATAATGGTGGTGATGGTTATCAAGGGAATGGATAGGGTGAGCGCTAATCACAGCTGTGAATGGAAGTGGACACACACACAGATGAGATGGTTAAGCATGAAGACAGTGATAGGTGAGATACAGACATGCAGTTTTCAGCAATAAAAAAAAAAAAACACCACTTAAAGCTGTCTTAGCAATTAAAAACAAAACAAAACAATGAAAAGTTAATGGAAAGCATGAGGTGAACTTTTATTTTGAAAATTGTTTTTTTGTTATTATATCAGTGCTCTTATATTCAAGGTTTATGTTCCAATTTCCTTAATAGACCAATTGCCAAGCCCAAAACTTTGGACATTTTCCTTCTCACTGCTCATACACACAAGCACACACGCACACACACTTACGCTGAGGCGGCTGTGCATCAAAAGGCATCATCATTTTAGGTCTCATCCCTCGTCGACCTGCTAGTGTAGACATGCTGTCCTCTGATTCGTGGCCTAAAAGTGTGATGGAAACCAGCCAATCAGAAAGAGCCGCTGTCTTTGCTTTTACAAAACCCCCATTTTCAGGAAATGTCTTAAAATGCAATAAAATCTGTCTAGGTGTTTTACCTAGTGGTGTTGATAATGGGGCTGGGGTATCAACCTGGGGTAATAACGTAGCATCTAACAAGGGCTAAATCTTAGCATTGCTAAAGTCAATAACAAAAAATGATCCAGGAAGTTGTACCACGGCTTGATAAATAAAGGAACATCACCCTTCTACTTTTTTTTTTATTGCATTTGTAGATAGCGCACCAACTTTTTTGGAAAATGGGGTTTGCATTTGTGAATGATCAGCTTGTAGACCGTTAGAATCCTCACATCGCTGCGTTTGGATCCCATTTACAAATGCCAGTGTCAGTTTATGATCCTTTGTTTGAACCTCATTAAACTAAAGAGATTTACTGTACTTGTAGCTGTAGTTTGTGTGTGCAGAGCTGTGATTATGGGCAGGGTGCATGAAAAGCATGAAATGTTTTGCATGATCATCTCAAAAGCACAACAGTGGAGACAAACACTGACTTCTTAAAACAAAAACAACATCTGAAGTTCATGCACATACTCCTCCAACGCCCCTGAAAGGAAAAACCAATGGCATTCACTCACTTCCTGAATGGAAAAAAAACATTTTTCGAAGTCATCTTGAATCGTACTGGATCCCTGTGGGTCCAGAGAACTTAAGCAGTTTGCTGAGTGATATTTTGCATGTGGAGTCAGGCAGTATGACTGACATTTTCCTCTGATCTCACTCTCTAACTTGAAACATTAAACTCTCCCTCATGAGGGTGAGACTCACCAAGGTAGGAGTTGCGCCTCTGCTGCAAGTGAGGGTTACTCTCTAGGCCGCTGTCAGCTGGCGTGATGTCCTGAGAGCTACGTGGTATGGGAGTTTCTGTCATGACCGGGTTGGGCTCTGGAGATTTGTCGATGGGTTTGAGCTCCAGCCTCTCATGGTGAATCCAGAGATCAGGGGGTTTCAGGTCTTTGGAATTTCCCTTGTATTTGTGGGAGCCGTTTGAGGACTTTGAGGCCGCTCGTTTTCTGCAGAGTAGAAGAAGAAGAAGTGTGAGTGAGAATGTGGCCCCATGTATATTAGAAAAACAAGTCAGAAAAGCCAAAGCAGGTGAGAGGAGAGGTAGCTGAAAGGAGCTTTGTCTGTAAAACAAACATTGGAATGCTCTCTGTTGGCAAGTGTCTTACTTTTTCTGGTGCGATGTCGTTCTCCGCGTGCACAGGAAGGCTCCCACCACCACAACGATGATGGTGAAGGCTCCCACCGAGATGATGATGATGATAACCAGGATGTGATTTTCACTGGTGCTTCCCACACCTGATTTACCTCGAGAGAAGATATACTGGATTAGAGCAGGTATCTCACTGTCTTCACCCTTTCAGCAGTGAAACTACAACTCCTGAGAAACCTTGGTGGTGTACTGTTGTACTGTGTACTGTTCTGGGATGAAATTACTGGCTTTCATTGGCCAATAAGATGGAGGTAAGGCTTGGGGATGAATAAGAGAGACTGGCAACCCCAACAATACTGTCACTTCTTATAAAAGTGGTGGAAATATATTGCTGTGGGGATTTTGTATTGCATCCTAAACTATTAGAGAGTGAAGACCAGGGTCCAATGTTTATGATTTTATGACGACAAGATCATAAACATTGGTGTAGCATTATAAATGGTCCAAAAAAAGTGTTCAAATTATTCTGTCCATAAATGATTATTTATTTTCAGGCTGCTGGGTTCACAGTTGTAGTTATAAATACCATATAAAATATATTCAACTACTGTCAGTAAATCCTACGTACTAGCTTGAAGTCAATAACAAGGGAATCAAGAAGATGCAAAGACATCAGATTTCCAAAAGCACCGTCAGAGGGAAGGGAGGAAGAACGTGTTTTTCTTTGCTGTCATGTGTGACTGACAGAGTGACAGTTGAACAGAACAGTGAAATGAAGTGAGTAGGAGGAAAATCTTACCAACTGAAGTCCCAGGCTCTGGTGGCTGCTGGTTGATGGAAGATTTTGAGGCTGGTTTAAAAGAAGGAAAAAAGGCAGTATTTAAAATGTCAGCCGCTTTTATGGCTTTACAACCTGCATTAGATACACAGTCATTTAATGGAATGCTTCAAACACAATCTGATTTTTGCAGATCATGCAGCCCAGTTTTCTTCAGCCCAAAAAGATGAAAATCTTTGGAAAAGAAGACACACGAGGAGCAGAGGCAGCGGTGAGAGATAAAAGTGTGGAGCTGGGAGTTTACCTTGGTCATTAGCCATTTTGTCAGAGGACTCAGCTTAACAGGCCAAAGGAGAGCAGGGAGGGAGAGACAATAAAAAGCAAAAAACAGGTTAGCCTGAAGAGAGCAGTGAGGGAGAATGAAAATAAAGGCAGAGATGTGGAATATGAAGCAAAACTGAAGAGGATGAGAAACTGTGAGAGAAACTAAATTGTAAGAAATTACCTCAGACAAAGCCAAGATGACATTAAAGCAAGCCTCTAAACATCAACATCAAAAATCACCATATTCTGAAAACATTGCTCAAAACGTTCCACACGTCAAGAAAATCAACCACACTAAAGTTAAATAACCTCCGTCTATTAGCTGACTCGACCATACACTCGTCAACATTCCCAAGCTGATGAATTAAACTTAAAGATCTGAACGACACTATCAAGAGATTGAGTTTCAACTATCAACGATGAAGTTAACAGTAGTGAAAACTAACACACAGTCATAGTGTGTTTGTTGAAGGGAAACAGTCCTTAGAGGGCAGTATTACACATCACTATTCATTTGAAATGTTAAGTGTTTTTTAATATGCTGACAATACTGCAATCATTACCGTATGAATGTGAGGACCTCCGCTGCTGCGTCAGTGAAAAGTCAAATCTTTAAAACTCATTAATTGACTTTGGGTCAGTTATGAGCTAAATAACTCCTCAAGTAATAAACACAGAGTGCTGATGTATTAATTAAGCTCATATTGGCCATGAGGGATGTGTTAGCGAAACCACTGGCTAGTTGCACATCCATCAACTAAAGCGCATTAATAACAAAGTGTTCTAATGAGGCTTGAATTTAAAGCTTTTAAAATAACATGACAATCAATTTATCTGTCTTCCAAGGCTTTTGGGAAGAGTTTGACCATCTCAGCTCTGTGGATCACAGAAACATACTTTTAGGAGTGCGGAAGTTGACGGCCTCAGACATGGGGCCCATGCCCTTAGAGTTCCGAGCTTGGATCTTAAAGTGGTAGGTAGTGTCCAGTGTCAGGTCCTGGATCTGATGGGTCAGGCGGTTTCCAACCACTGGTTCTATGACCCAGTCATGGACCTCAGCATTGACATCAGTGCTGTAGTAGATGATATAGCCTAAAACAGAGGAGAAGTCAAAATCCCCATGTTTCCTCTCATTTTAATGTCACTTTTCTGCGTAGGAGTGGTGCTGTTCTCCCTGGGTCTGAGACTCACCAGTGATCTTTCCGTTGGCCTCTGAAGGCGGCTGCCAGTTCACGATGATGGTGCGGGGTTTGTTCTCTTTGCTCACCACCGTCACATCTTTTGGAGAAGAGCTGGGAACTGTACAGGTAGTGGAGACAGAGAGTTAGTTACGCTAACTTATTGTACTATTTGACCTGTGTTTGTGTGGAGCAGTGCTTTGGATGCTCTGTATTGTTCGTTACATACTATATATTGGTATTTAAGGACATGGAGACTTTTGATCAATGCCACCTTAAGGGCAAAAAAAAACAAAACTACTCTATAACCATTTTTTAAAGTTTCCTCTGCCTTGCAAAATATTAACTTGCAATGCAATGTAGTATAACAGTTAAAAAAAATTCAAGGCCATCAAAATATAACTATATATCAATTTCCTCAGACATTTAATTCATGAGAATGGAAAGTGGAAAGTGAATGGAATGAAAGGATAACGGACAACTCACAAACACTTGGTTCACAGCCATACCTGTCACCAGCAGAGGTAAAAAAAACCCCAAAAAACTCTGCAACTCCAGTAAATCTCCGTCCAATATTGCACACACAGATGTGGTTTCAGAGAAAATGTGTTTTCAGCTTTTATTGAAAATCTTTGCACTCAGCAAATTAAACCTTACAGCAGAGCGGAGAACGGGCACTGATACGACCAAGCTTTGCAAATGTAAGCATCCATTAGGTTCACAGTGCTGCAGAAATTATATTTTTATAAGAACCGCGTGTGCATTATCAACACTGTCTAAATGATAGCGTTGGAAAGCTGTGGTTTTAAGTGCTATAAATTACTGTATTTTCACAGAAATTGATGGCCATTTATAACAATGTATTTTCTTTTCATCAGCAGCTACCAGAATTGACTGGATTAGAAAACGAGGAACTGGTGATGGCTGTGATTATACATGCGTACAGTGTTAGTCCAAAAGCTGATATTATATCCTTTCATTACACAAAGAAAAATACCCTGATTTTATTTCTATTGGTTTAAAAGCAGGATTTTCTCTGCATTAATAAATGTATATTGTAGCTGCAGTCACAGCTTCCTGCTCCTCAGGAGTCTCCGTCCCTTCCATTTGGGCTGCAGAAGACAAAATATGACTATTCAAACAGAGGCTTGTTTCACTGTTCCTGGTGGGACTAAGAGTGGATGTGCAGTACTATTTCTGCATGTTTGTGTGTGTGTGTGTGTGGGTTTCGAAAACATGCTCATACTGGTTTCAAACGTGGTGCCCTGTGCAGTCATGCTCCAAGTGCTGCTGCGTCGACCTTTGGTCACCATGACTGAGAACTCGTACAATGTATTGGGCTTCAGACCTGTCACCATGTAATTCAGATTGGTAGCGTTGGCCGACTGAGGAGAGACAGACAAAAACAGAATGCTGTATATGAGAAAAAACTGAATCAAAATAATCCTTATAGGGTGTTTATGTTTTTCATTCAAAAGCCTGTTCTGAAACACTCAGTCCCATTGAGCAGAAAATAGACAATAAGGAACAACATCATCAGGGCTCTCCAACAGGAACAATCAAAAGTCCCAGCATTAGCAATGTTCACCAACATACAGTGTGTAACATACAGCAGTTACAGTTACTGTCACTGTTGTCATTCATTTTTCTGTTGTCATTCGTTAAAATTTTAACAATAAGAAGAATATATAAGAATATATATTTTAGGATCCATAGGATATTACTCAGGATTTGGCCTTTCCTTGTTTGTTTCTGACAGAAAACCCTTGTATATTCTGCTCCAATATCAACCCCACATTTACTTCACCTGAACCTAATTACTTGTTTTCTCATTTCAATGACACAAGGACACAACAAAAGCTGACACAAAGCTGAGTTTGTTCTAAAACATTGTGTAACACAAAGGAGAGCTATTACAAGTAACACGTAAAACAAAACATGTGAGGGAATCAACAGAAACAAAAATGCAAGACAGCAGCCACAGCAAAAAAACAAAACAACATTAATATTTGAAAAGAAAGACTTAGGTAAGCACCGCCAGCCTGAGGAATCCATCAGTGTTCTTCAGCATGCATTGTATACATATATAAACATATGTGTATATAAATGTATATAGAAAAATATATACATATACACACACACCCTCTAGGTGTTACTAAAGAAACCAATGGGAGGTATCACCTCATTTTTGGAAACATTCAGCTGTGTCGTGTGTTTAATAACGTACCAGACTGTTGTCTTTGTGGATGAGGAGACCGACTCTAACATGGCCTTTATATTAAGATAGACGACATGATGGAGTTTACATAGAGATACTCACTAACCCACTTGTTAATGTGGTTTTAGTAATGGCACAAAACATAATGAGCCAGTGGGAGTGTGTAATTACTGTCACACTTGTTTGGGCCTCCACAGGTGGAGGCAGAGCCGAGCTCTTCAATATGTATCTGTCACACTTTTATTATTTCTGGATCTGTTGTGTAACATATTGACACAACACCTGTCTTGGTTTTGTCCATATGATTTAGCTCTGATTACCAAAGTTACTTATAAATCATCAATTCAGAAATCTCTTCAGGCGTTTGGCAGCTAAGAGGCAGCTACAAGCTTCTGAGTCAAGAGCAATAATCAACAAACTGAATGAAAACATCCCAACTGAGCTGCTGTGTGTATTTGAGGAAGCAGGGAAATCAGATACACTCAGTCTCTTTGCGTGGCGTTCAGTTTGTCTTGTCCTTGTTAAATAATTCATCAGCATACACATACCTATATCCAAACTTAGCACACACACACACACACATAAATATATGTATATGTGTTAACACTTCATATCTTTCCATTAAGTTTTGTTTTCCACACATATAATGTATATTACAATGTGCATGTCTGGTGATGGTGTAGACATACGCTGCACTGAAATACACAGAAATCACTCTGTATTAGATGAAGGCTGCAGTCTGATCAGATAGCTGGGGTTTGGAATTGAATCGGGTGAATTGCACTCGGTTATAAAGATGTTACGAGGTGACTGTGCACCAAACACCAGTGGACCCTGATTGTGCTTTAAAAATAAGATACAAGAAGCTCCTACCTTCACTTTGGTGTTGGCAGGGATGTTGGTCTTCCATCTCACTGTGTAGAAACGATTGTCGGTAATTTTTTGATTTTTGGGTAACGAGTTGTCAGCCCAGGTCACCTTGATGGTGTCGTAGCTCAACACAAAGGCCTGAACACCCACGGGCGGCATCATGGGGGAGGGGTCTGGTACTGGGGTGTATGGAGCATGGAAGAGGTCATACAGGTCAACATCGGGTTCAATGGGGTCTGCACGTCAGGCAGTAAGCATGCACAAATTAAAATGATCAAAAATTAACACATTAAGAAGCGTGGTGTGGTGGACCAGACATGAATGCAGGGCAGATGGAAAATGATAGAAAATATGGTTATTGAATTAAATGAAGGACAAGGGCGGAGAGAAGAAAAAGGAAGAGGAGGAGGACACGATGACAACAATGATGGGATTGGGAAGGATGGAAGGAAAAAGAGAGAAGACACTGTTAGAAAAAACAGAAACTGACCTCTACCATATGACAAAACTAAAGTGGTCACTACATAGAGGCTACTGTAGAGTACTGTATGTGGTGTTCTATTACTGAAGTCGTACAAAGAAGAAGAGAGAGAATGACTGCAAGTATAAAACAGCACAAATCTAGGAACATTACAGTGAAGTCTAAAAATACTAGTACTGCATTTAAGTATTTTCACAAAATTTTAACATCACTTAAATTCTGCTTACACTCACATAAAACATAAATAACCATTGTAAAAGAGGGTCAGTTCACATTTTGACAAGATCATTCTGACATGAATGAATGACAAAATCCATCGAAACCTAGATTTGAAGAAAATAAAGCAATGTTAAAGACAGACATAACCTGGGTTAAAATTCCTTAAAGGTTGACAATTCAAACCTGGGAACCATGAAATATCTAGGCCAGAAAGTAAAAACAAGAAAAATAAAAATATGTTTCTAATTTTATTCAATCGGGATATAAAAACTATGTTTATTGCACCGCCTGCAGGAAATGGTGACTAGTGTGCATTTGTAGATCACTTTTCTAGTCCTGGCTACCAACGAAAATTATTTTACACTGAGGGGGTTTGTCATCTACCTCCTGACAGCAAAGCTACCAAGTCTGCATTACTGACTTAGATACAGCTAATGTATTCAATTCCTTATGTTTTCCTTCACATAAACACAGGTATTATGTTTATTTTTGTTTATATGCGAGTAGGTCTGTATATGTGTGGGGATATAGAAGACAGAATCATACTGTGTTCACCTTTTAACAGCACATAAACACACTTTTGTGTGTGTGTGTGTGTGTGTGTGTGTGTGCGCGCGTCTTCATCTGCAGTTCAGTATAGTGTGCAGTCCTGACCACTGATTCAACGGCTGCTTGAAGACTGCTGTCCTTGGTTTGATGATGGAAGAAAAAAACAACACTCCTCCTCAGCAACATGTTACTCCTCTTCCTTTCGCTCTATTTGACACTTCACTTTACACAGCTGCCCTCATTATATTCCCATGCCGGAGCCAGAGTGTGTTTGTGTGGGTGAGTGTGTTTGAGTGAGGATGATGAAGATCCAAACACCCATGTGGTTGAGGAGAGTTGCCGAGGTTTGTGGGGAAAACACTGTAGGATTCTTTATCCAGTTTGAACGAACACCGATCCTTATATTTACAAATGAAACTTAGAGCCTGAACTAAAATAGAAATTAAATTTCCATTCTCTGTGATTTTTTTCTCACAGTTTTACACCACGTTAACATTCTTAACCTCAGTTCACTTCTCTATCAGCCTTGGTTCACAAAGTTTGCACTTATATCCATTTTTTTCCCACTATGTAGGTCAGCTCGTCTTTTAAGTTCTGACTTGAACAAACTGGCAGAATAGGAAACTGGCCTCCGAGGACTCAGCAGTAGACGACGCTGGTGGGCTTTGGTTCTGCTTTGAGAGGAAACGTTTGGATCTGAGGGAGTGTTGCCAAAGCCACCACAGGGGGTCTGTGGGTGAGGAGCAGCAGCAGAGGGAGCATCACAGGCAGAAAAGTGTACAGTATGACAGTATGACTGCTGTGTCGAAGCGTTAAGGCTGCTACCCCCCCTTGGAGCTTGTTGACGTGATTCATGTCATCCAGTCTCCTGCCCCCTGAAGCTGAAGATGCCATAACGTAGCAGTGGAGTAGAGATGAACCGGAGTGATCAAGGCTTAGGGTGGAGGCAGGAGGTCGGCTACGTGAGGAGCCAGGTGCGGCCCACATTCTGGGACACCACAGGGAGCAGAGGCTGCTCCTCTTTTGACACACTACCGTAAACTTAGTGAACTCATCTGACGTGCAGTTAAAGTGGCACGGCTTCACATTCGTCAAACACAAACTGGATCAGGATAAAGTTCTGCTACATCCAACACCTCACGGGGTCTTGATGTCAGACTTAAGAAATTATGAATTTGGTGGGATGCTGCCAAGATTAGTTATTCTTACACTACAGACTATTGCAAAAGGCATTTTATTCCTCTAACGCGTAGAAGTCCAAGAAGCCTGCATCACCGAGTCTGTTTGATACCAAGATCTGAGCCAAGTAATGTGCAGAAAACAGCCTGCTACAAAGACAATCTGATACTAAATAAACAACATCTGTGGACAAAGGACTGAACTGTGAACATGAAACTGAAATTTCATCTAGACCACTCCACTCTTTCAATAATCATACTTTAGGATGTTTGAATTATATAGATAAGTGGAAAAAAGAACAAAAGACCTGATAGAAGATAAGAAAAACTAAAAGCATTTTCGTGTGATGGATCTCTGATGAATAAACATTTTCTATATCTAACATTTAAAAACTTTTTTTAAAATATATTTTTATATTTTAGAGATGCTAGATTTAGACTTTTTTCTATTAGTTTCGCATTGCTGCACTACCTGCAAGCCACAGGTCTCCAGCTTATTGTTTGTAGTTAGGATATATTTCAACTGACCATTACTTCATTCTCCTGTATCCAAAGGTAACATCTGATAATTTAAAGGCAATATTTGAACAATTGTGCGCTTTAATGAGAGCGCTAACTAAGCTGCCTCAGTGGCAGTTAATATATCAGGTAATTTGTAGAACAGAAAGAACCATCTGATAACGATTACATCAGAGACGCGTCTCTTTTTGGCTGAGTAAATACAGCATCATACAACGAGTTGTGTACCTCTCATAATAAGGTACATAACTTCTTGATTTGCATTTCTTTCCAGTGAATTATGTCATGATATAAAGTGAGAAACTACATCTTCAGGTCAGGAGGACCTGGCTAAAGTGTTTTTTTTGGCAATCCATACCTGACTGTGGCCTTGTGATGGCGCTCTCATACACAGGAATCCCCTCACCCACGTTGTTGTAGGCCTTCAGTGTGATCACGTAGTGAGAGCTGGGGTCTGTGAGGTAAAGACGGAGAAGAGTGAGTAACAGCAGAGACAGAGATAAGTGGATGCAGCCGCTCTAATCAGGTCCAAACTCTTCAGACTCTTGACTTTTAATTGCAACATTAGCAAGAGTGAACGTGTGAGCTAGACCGGAGTGATCATTGGGTTTCATTTATACATATTTCACAACAATGACTGGACCAAAACTAATCATTTAACCAAGATTATTTTTTTTATCAATTTACAGTTGTACCCAGAATTGTATCACCAAAGTATAATAAAGGAAATTGAAATGATGCCCATAGAAGGAAAACAATGGTAAATGATGACCCACATAATGGACAGCTTCAGGAAAATGTTATTTGTTCTGAAAAAACTAATGATGCCTCATTAGTTTCACAATTTTTCTTTTTACTCATCTCAAAAGACATCTAGTTAAAAATTCACTTTTTTATCATATAAGTGAATTTTAAACAAGTTTTGACTGATAACTGACTTGTTTCCTTGCTTTTAATGGAATATTAATACAAAAAGCCAGAATTAATATTTTAATTTCAATAAATATTCTCAGCTCTGCATTTAGAACAGTGTCTGAATTCTTACTTTTTCTTATAAATTGTACTCTTACAGACTTAAATTAAATTAATGTAATGTGTCTTTCTTTCATCTTTTACAAGAGGAAAATACTGCTGCTTATAGTTTTTCTAGTTTAAAAAGAAACATGTAAGGGCATGAATTCAAAAATGAAAAAACAATTTTTAAGTAAAAAATGATGATAATATATTTTTTCTTTGTTTTAGCTTAAGATCCACTAAAACACATTTTACTTTTAGGATGTTACATAAGTTTGTGGCCATTAACCTAAAGTGTGTAATTAGTGTCTTAGGCCTGAGGAGCAGAGGTTCTCATTAATTCTCCTATTACTATGTCACACTGGTGAAGAACCTCTGAATGTGCGTGTTTATTTTCTACATTGAGATGGTTTAAATATTGTTACACAAGTCAAGTATGTTTTTGTGATAATATGATAATAATAAAAATGATAAAAATGAATCGTCATCAGACCCAATCTCACCCAGGTTCTCGATGGTGTAGTACCGCTGCTTATAATCCACTTTAATGGTTTGAGCGTGGGGGCTGCCGATGCCGTAGCCGATGGTGTAACCGCGCACCACGATATCCTGGTTCTCCGGTGGCGTCCAGCTCACCACAATACTGTTGACCAATGGGCGGACGTGCAGAGAGCTGGGCTGGTCTGGTACACGGGATTCTGGTGAGGGACAATATTAGCTTAGCTTAGCTTACACAGACACACAAGACATTTGTCACCTAGGGCGAGAGAGAGCCCTGAGAGTGGGGCATATTCATCTGATTATATGTTTGTATAGTAGCTGTAATGCTGTAGCATGGTAGCGATTAAGTGAAGATTAGTAAAGACAGTTTTTCTGTTGTGGTTCTAGTCTATATTAACTGAAAGAAGCTGGTGGTTTTACCGTCCAGGTCACTCTCAAATGTCTCTGCTGTCATCCAGTCTGTGGCTGGTCCGCTGCCGTTCACCGTCATGGCTGACACCCTGAAGGAGTACTCCATACCACGCTCTAGACCTGAGCAGGATAAACATGTGAAGCATGATTAGAGGTTAGACATGACAAATCTGTTAAAGATTTACAAAATAATTAAACCAGCAAAAAGATAGTTACAGTCAAAACATTCCTATCCAAAGTAAGATGTGAAATGATACCAGGTCACTATTACTAACACCTTAGTAAACAACAAGAAGAAAAGACTAACAAAGACCACTTTCAGGACAGTTGGAGACTTGATTAGAATTTGACATAGTGTATAAAATGAAAAAAAAAAAACCCAACACCAGAACATTGGCTGAATTTTAAGGAAAATATATTTTCCAAAATACTCTCAGCAGCACCTCGGTTCAATTTAAAAAGAAAAATCACAAGTCTGCTTCAGGAACATGAGTTAAAGTTTCCTCTTCTGATCGTCATTTTTTCCCATAGAAGTTTTTACAGATTTCGTTTTTGTACCTTCAGTACAAATGTATTTGCAGTTCAACAATAACAAGCTCTAAAAATATGACTCTATAAAGCGTTTCAACAAACTTTTTAAAGGTCTGACTTCTTCAGAAAGAACTAGTTCACTGCTGGGTTCCATCATTGGTATTCAGAATGGGGAGAACGCCTGCTGACAAATGATCTGCTGTTGTATTAATTTGTCGTAAACTTTTTCATCGTTAACACATTGTTCCTTTTGCAGGGTACAGATTAATCCTGTCGTTTTTTTCTGTGTACCCACAATTCAGGAACACACTCCGGGGCTGTTTTTGTGACAACTGACTAACTATCAACGCCAACAATGTTCCCACATAAACATCTTTGAAACCAAAAAAGAAAAAAAAAAAAGAAACCAAAAACAAAACAAAACAAAAGAAACATCCTGCTATTTCACTCTCCGGAATGTTCTCTTTAAATCTACTTTTAACCATAGATTCCCTTTGATGGAGCACACAGCGTGACGCAAGGCCACTTGGAGGCTGCTGGTAACATTTAATTTATATCGCCACCATTGCTTTGTCTTTTAATATTTATGATATTTGGCAACATCGGTGGCTAATGCTAGGTTACAGATATTGGCTAACTTCAGCTGAAAGGGCTCAAAAAGAGCCAAACGTGTCATGGAATCATTTTAAAATAACTATGGTTCCTGAGCATTATAGAAGTTTCTACTACTATCTCTCTGTATTTGTCTTGTTTTCTGTTCTGTTGGAGTTAAATGGACTGTCCTCAATACAAATTATTTATCAGTTTAAAGACATGCAGTAGGTGGAAGTAATACATCCCCAAATATTTTGTTCTTATATGTAAGTCCTTATATGAAGCAAGTCAGAGATTGTTAGTAGCCTCTGGCTTGATTATGACTGGTAAACAATTATTACAACAAATAAACAAAATAAAAACAATGCTAGCATCACCCTTACTTATCACCAACACAGTGGAAGTGTGCTACGTACATACAAATGTAGCATCAATAGCGGTGAATACTACTTACTGGCAGGTAATTAGGACAACAACACATATGGTGCTGGTGTATTGATAACATGCTACATGCTAACAACAAGGACGTTTGACTCATGGAACAGAAGTACATTTAAAGACGTTCTTAACACCACCCACCGGCCAAAGTAGGGGACTCTACATGCTAAATCCTTCACACATAAAATGCTTTTACAATTGTATAAAACAGCATATTTGGTCTATATTATTGCAGTACATAATTGCAGTTATATGTTAGCCTGCAGTTTGTTGCATAAAAAACAAAACAACATCCTGTCTGCTGTTACCATTTCCAAATAAAACAGTGCAGCAGCTCCTGAGACAATAACACAGGACATATGGTGTGGAAATCTGAGATGTCTTTGTTCATGTTTGTAGTTGTGTGTTTGTAACAGTTCTGTAATTCATTTTTCAGAAAGCTTTAGTACAGGTCTGTTTTCCAAACCACCCACTCTCTAGTTCTCTGCTTTGTGTTGTTGCATCAAAGACACAAAGAATAGTTCTATTATGCAGCCAAGTGTTTAATTTAGCTACAATTTCCTTTCTGTTTTTTTTTTCAGTTTTAAAAAGGTTGGAGCCGGTCCATGTTTGAGTGTATTGTTGAAAGCAGAGTAGTACAGTCAATTGTTTGTTTGTTTTTTACATTAAGTACAATAATAATTCAAATAAATAAATAAAATGGTTCCTAATAAAAATAAGGTCCACAGGCATCCTGATGTTTCCCATATATAAAAATAATAATTAATCAATCGAATTGACATGATTTTGTTGACTTGGCCCTACATTTCAGTTGACTTTTTGTCAAAAAATAAAATAAAATCACATTTTATTGTATTGTTGATGATCAGTGTGTGTTACCGTCAATGAGCTTGCTAAGCTCTCTGCCTCCGGTGGTGTCGGCTGCCTCACTCCTGCGTGATCCTTTCCGGTATCGAATCTTGTAGCCTGTGATCTCACCGTTCTGGGCGTTTGGAGGAGGGGGCTGCCAGCGGAGCATGATGCTCTGAAGGATGGAAAAACATGACATCAGGAAAAGTAAACAAAACATCAGCACACACACGATGACGCGTCACATCAAACAGGTCATATGTGTCTGCGTTAATGTTCAGTTGAGAAGAAAATGTTCCTGTGTTATTCTACTGCTATGATTTATTGACTGAACGCATAATAATACTGAACACACTAACTTTACTTAGATAGTTAAATATTTGACTTTGAAAAGAGAAAAACAATTTCAAGTTCTCATATGTCAGCCACCATCAGAAAATCTCTCAGAAAAATTCTTTCTTTCTTGTTCTTTAGACCAAAGTTTTCTTTCTTTCTTGTTCTTTAGACCAAAGAATAAAACAAAATACAAAATAACTAGCTATGAAAACTGCAGGGAGACTAGTAAATGGCTCAATGTGTCAAAGAAGCCAAACAAGGTGTGTGTGGGCAAACTCACACACACACCTTTGTCCAAACTCCTTGTCCTGATTCAACATCCTTTTTGCACATTTTCTAATCTTTTTCCTTCTCCAGTGTTCAGGCTCGACGGGAGTTCACCACTGAAACATGTCAAGGTAAATCTGCACTGTCTGGTCTATCTAAAGGAAACCCAAAAGGATTATGTCTCTGTTTTACCACGGGAAGAATGTCTGACTGGTAAATCTCCTGCCTGCCACACAGGAGATAAAATCCACCCTTTGCCACAACCCTAATGAGGAGGGTTGCATCAGAAAGGGCATTCTTTTTAAAAACTGTGCCAAATCACAATGAGGAGTACGGCTGAGAGCAGTTTGTGCACATACTGTAACACACACACATGCATGTATCTCTCTGTGTGTGTGTGTGTGTGTGTGTGTGTGTGTGTGTTGGAATAGATTCGTCCTGCAGAGACACTGAGACAAATGAATGCAGGACATTTGCTGGCAGAGACCACAGTGCTGTGTTGTGTGTTTCTTTCATTTCAGCTCACATGTGTGTATGTGTGTGTGTGTATGTGTGTATCATGCATGAATGTGTTTAAAGACAAAGGTGGGAGAAGCGCAGCTCAGCGTGGGAGAAGAGTTAATTATTGCTTCCCTACAGTCACACTTAAGCACAAAAGCCTGAATACATATAAATGAAAGGAGCGCGCACACACACCCACACCCACACATACAGAGACAGAGACAGACACATGCACACACACTCATACCAAGAAAGAAAGACAGACTCACACACCTCCCTTGCAGAGTCAAGGGAATGACCTGAATTAAATTTGTGTTAAGTGTGTTCCGTTATTTTCATTGTTCTTGTTACACTATCAGCCCTGACTTGTTGTGTTTGTTGCCTTTTCCCTTCTTTTCCTAATGAGAAAAAACGGTTTAATTCACATGGAGAAAATCACCAGGGTAGACGAGAATAAAGACGCCAGAAGCAACAGATCACATGAGAGACAAGGTTTTTAACATGGCTGGCAGGTAAAAGATGCAGCGATGTGCATGACAAGAACCAGAAAGGAGGTAGAAAATGGAGGGCATGTTAATGAATGGAATGAATTTTTCGCTCCTGTTTGTCTGGACACATCAAGCCGCTATGGTACAAAGGCCTGGAGCAGAATCGCTGCCATGTAGAATTAGACGCAGTGAGGAGAAGGGTTGTTGGATTCATATGTTTATTTCCTTTGTCTGGATCCAACTGAGGAGAGACAGACTGGATGCAGACGCTTGTGTTTAACCGAGTGATGTCTCTTTATTTTAATCTTCACTTCAGCTTTGGACTGTCTTAATAAATCCTGCAGCATGTGGGAGCACTTCTCACCCACGCTGGGGTGTGATAGTTTTTTTTCTTTCCTTTTCCTTTTCCGCTCGACACCTCTCCCTCTCTCAATCTGCACCGGACAAATCGTGGTTCTGCTGGCTTATTGCCCCACATGCATCCTGAGGTTTTTCCATATATTCTGTAACCCCACATGTTTCTCATGTAGTACAGATGATCTTTTGAGGAATGTAATCCCTCATGTGGGTGAAAATGTGAAAAAGACTTTATATCTCAGTTTGAGAGCCAATGGTTGAAGAGATGAGTAACTGAGGGTGGAAGTCTGAAACCATCTCTGCATCTTAAACAACCCAAAACACAGAGGTCAACCACGGCTGTAGACAATCCACTGAAATATTACACTTTTGCGCCTTCATTGGCAGTACTGACAAACTCATTTTGGTTACAGTAATTTATTTATAATTAAATACTGATTTGTAAATATATTTAGTCTGACATTTTGGGCTCAAATTTGCAGACTTATCACTAAGTCCTCCTAAGCTACATTGCGTCCTAACTATCAGTTCTTAACAGTACCACATTGCTGAAATTTTTTTTTTTTTTTTTTGGTATTCCTTCCAGGTTGTTTTCGTTTTGTGTGCAGACGCAGAGGTTTAGACAGAGGATAAAACTGTTTGACAGTCCAGACTCCTGCTGATGAGTGAATCAATGAAGGTTCAAACACACTCTTAAACACTCAGGGCTCCAGGCCTCTGACACAGCTAATCAAACACACCGAGGAAGCAGCGCTGCGGCCTGCAGGCTGTTGACATCTTTAACTTTGTGCGTGTGCGTGAATGTTTGTGTGCTTGATGAAGCAGCAGTTGTCATCAGACGTACGTCTATTTATTCTGCATCATGGGTTTGAATAAAACCTTTAAGTTTAATGTAACAAGAAGAGAAAACAGAATGACCTGAGTTTGTCCTTATCTTCATTAAAAGGAATGAAAACCAACCTTTGAGTTCTGAACTTCCACAGTCAGGTTTTGAGGAGCAGCGCTGGGCACTGTGAAAGAGAAGAAAAAAAAGGTTTTTTTAGACAATTAGACAATCAGTTTTTACACACACACACAAAAACAACTTTAATGAGTGGTTGTTTAAAAAACACCAGCATTACCAAAGTGGAACGTGTAGGTGTTTCTGTTCATCTGCAGTCAACTGAATGTGTTATACATTACAGAGCAATCACAGCAAATGTGTTCAGGACACAGGAAATAATAACAGTAACAATCAAAAACTGTGTTTTGCAATAATTAGCGTAATTGCACATTAAGACTCACTCACTGATGTCATTGCAGTCACAGTAAAAAAAAAAACCTGTTGATTGGACCTCGAGGATTTATCTTCACTTATCAAGTTGATTATAGCTCTAACTCACAAAGTGCCACGTTTGAGAGAAAAAAAATGAAAAATAAAACCCTGGAGAGGTTTTGTGCAGGGCCCGCCATTTTGCAATCAATTATTGTTTAAACATGTAGCCATTTTATTAGTTTATGTTTTTGTTTGTACTTTTTTTTTCTATTTTGATTCAATTAAATGAAATAAGCATAAAACTATTAAATTCTGGGCAACATTATCACACCAGATCACAACCTTTCACTTGTCTCAGGACTGAAATTAACCTCCTTTCAGATAAACTCCCAGTTTTGGGAAAAGAAAAAAAAGAATTAAAGGCTGAATTTGGATTGTGATCAAATGTGTCCCAGTTGTGATGTGATACAGGTGTCTACACATGTTTTAGTTCCTGAAAACATAGCCATAAAATGTTTTTGCTACATTTTCTGGGATAACAAAATATGTTCCAGACTTTTTTCCTATCAGGCTGAAGAGCTGAGATTCTTTATCTCACTAAACCAATGCCATGCTGTAAAGTGTTGTCCTATGTCATACAGCGGCGTATGGGTATTTTTACACCATTGAATCTGAACCCATGTTATTACTATTATTGACATTGACTTCATCATCTCACTGACCATCAGACAGGGTGCGGACCACCACATCCTCAGTGGAGACCCCTGGTCCGTGCTTGTTGTTGGCCACCACACGAAAACTGTACTCCGTATTTTTCTTCAGTCCTGTCATGGCGTACGACTGACCGTCGACATCCACGTCCTGAAGAGAGACCGAGAAACGTTTTGATGTCAGCTGAATAGATATTATCCACCAAAGAAATGAAAACAGTTTGATGCTTCAGCCCAGAAGAAAACAAACTCCTTCAGCATGTGTTTTTACCAGTGGAGGAAACGTGCTGATTATCAGACGTTCTGTCAGATTCACATCAGCGTTTTCTCATTATCGGCAGCGCTGCTGAAATGTGATGCCTGTTTTCATCATCTCCTCCTGCTAACACTCAGCTTCTGACTCTGTGTAAAAATGTAATCACTGTCTCCGACACACAAATTACGCCTTCCGTCATTATGACTTTTGTTTTACAAATTGGACACACTGGCACAAGGTGCAGTCGCTCTAATCAATTTACATCCTGCTGTTTTATTTTTCTTTTTGATTGAAAAGATAAAAAAAATTAAGTTTCTTTTCAACAGGCAAAAACTATCACCTGTACAATGGTCACATGATCCACCCAGGAGGGGCTTCATCATATGCTGTTCCTCACATCCTTCTCTCCTTAAATATTTCATGTGCCTTCTCCACCTTCTCTCCCACTTCATCTCCTCACCCTCCCTCCGTTTCACCTCTTCTTTCAACTTTTCATTTTTTGCCCACATCTCAGTCGTTTTTCACCTCATCTCCGCCTCTCTCCTCCTGGGAGCTGAGGCAGTTCCTCAGCTGACGTTTTAATCCATTATCATATTAAAGGTCTTTTAATGCCTCACTGGCCAGCACACTACTACTGCTGCTACTGCTGCTGCTGCTGCTGCTGCTGCTGACTCAATATCTATGCAGCTTGATTTCACTCATGTGATAGATTCAGACCTGAAGAAAAGGAGCGAGTGAATCATTTCTTTTTTCCCGTCACATAACTGTGGTTTTTAGGGGGAGATGCATGACCTAAAGTTTGGTCATGAGGCAGCGCAGAGATTCAGACTCCAGCAAATGACTAAGAGCTCGTTATTTCATGGTAATGTAGTACCGTGAAACTCTAAGGTCAATAAACTGCAAAAAACAAGGCATCACAAACAGGCACAACTGTTCTATTTTGCGTTTTTCCGGCTGTAACAATAGTTCTGAGGCGACGCCTTGAGCATTTTAATCACAAAATGTGATTTTCTTTTCTACCAAATTAATATTGTGTCTCGGGAAGACTGGACCGCTGGTCAGAAAACATCAGGGAACAAATGAATAAATTTAATGTTTTATTTATTCTGTGTCTTGTATAGAAAGTTAGCCTGATTTTATGTGTTTTTGTGAGAAAATTGTTGTCATTTTTTTAATAAACTGAGTAATGCGACGTAGTGACGGACCAAACTCAACACTTTTAAATCTCACCTGTTCGCTGTCGAAGCTTTTGTCCGTGTAGTACAACTTGTAGCTGAGGATTTCTCCGTTGCCTGTGAGAGGTATGTCCCAGCTCAGAGAGACAGAGGTCGGACTGTTTGACACTGCCTGAAGATTAGAAGCAGGGCCGGGGACTTGGACTGCAGAGAAAAAAAAACACAAAAGAGACAATTATATCTGACCACTAAATACTCAAGTTATACTGCACATAATAAATCAAAGAACAGTGGGTTTCATTCCTCATTTAAGAGTTCTATTGGTCATTGACATGTTTTTTATTTTAATATTGAAAGAGAATAAGAGACAATAAAACTCCTGTCACACTGATTTATCTTTGCCTTTTCTTGTAATTTTTGAAATAGTACAGCAATGCAACAAAGCCATCCTGTCGCTTTCATGGTTTCGTTCAAACTAAAGAAAAAAACAACCTGATCAATGCATTAACTGTAGTCTTCATAAAAAGCCTAAATAAAACCTTATTTAAGAGAAATATACCTAAAGGCTAGACTTTTATATTTATTATTTATAAATATTTTATAAAATATTAAATTAAGGAGTGGCTCCAGACTTGCACACACAGCAGTTTATGTACTTTATTTTCATCAAATATATTATATACATATATTGATATATTATGTTTCAGTACTCACACACACACACACACACACACACACACACACACACACACTGACCTACAGTACGTATGTACAGCCCGTTACGGTGCGGTGTGAACTTTAGCTGCAGGTGTCCCTGACAGAACAGAGAGAGTCCTATTCGTCATGTGTGTGCACTTGGAGGTTAGCGTGTGTGCGTGTGTGTGTGTGTGTTCGTCTTACAGGTTTACTCAGCCACTCTCTGAGGAGAAGTTATGTGGGGCAGCAGCGTGAGCACATGCCTCACTCTCAGATGCAGGTCAACAGTTTAAGCTCCAATTCATAGCGTGTTGGTACAGTAACAGTGCACACACTTGACAGAGACATACTGCACAGGTAGAGCCCACCCTGACTGCTACCCCCCAGAGTGGCTTAGCCCTGGCTGGCAGCCATTAAACATGTAGTGTGTCTGTGTATTTATCAGTGTGTGTGTGTGTGTGTGTGTGTGTGTGTGTGTGCCCTGTTTGCCCTCCAACCAAGGACGAAGGTGGAGAAACAACGTCTGACCCAGAAAGTGACAGTGACAGAGCTGCAGCTGAGACTAAGGCTGAGGGACGTCCACCTTGACATGTGCTGGGAAATCCCCTTCACTGGGATTTAAAAATGAGTGGTTTCAACAATTTGGACTAGCCTGCCTGGAGAGGTGGGAGTATGGGGGTGCAGGGGGAGGAGGTGAGGGGTTGAGGAGGGACACACACATGTGAACACAAAGAGATCAGAGGAGAAGAGAACCATTTACTTCTCTCCACTCCTAATAATCCCTGTGTTTACGCCACTCAAAATATTACGCTGAGGTTGTGTACACTCACTGTACAGATCCATCAGCAAATACTGGAACAAATATGTGGAGACTCATTTAAAGAAATTGGTTTACAGCAGCAAACACACACACACACACACACAGGCTTTACGGTGCAGGTTGGAACAGGAAAACTCCGGCTGCCTCTTTGGTCTGATGTTGGGTGGTCTGACTCAACCCACAGCAGAGAAGAACTCGTGTGTGTGTGTGTGTGTGTGTGCACTCAGGTTTGCAAGTAAATATTTGTTTGTGCTAATGTTTATTATTTGCACATTTGTGCGTGTGTGTATGACATTTTCAGTACACACTGTTTGCCTCAGTTTGCCAGAGTGAACACACATCCAAAAACCCCAGTGAAGTTCACTTTGCTGTTTGTGTTTCCTGTTGATCGTGTACATTAACTTTACAGTTTCTGTGTGTTTATGTGTGTGTGAGAGAGAGAGAGAGAGAGAGAGAGAGAGAGAAGGGGGAGAGACTTTACCTTCACCCTGGGTGGCCACTTTGAGAACTGCAGAACTCTCTCCCTGGCCGTAGCCGTTGTGTGCCACAACCCTGAACCGATATTTAGTCTCAGGCATGAGGTTCTGGATGGTGACCTGCATCTCTCCTGGACGGCTGGTGTTCACCACTCGCTCCCTGATGTGGACACATTTACATTTTAATTTTAAATACATTTTTACGTACGTTATGTTCTATAAGACGGGGGTGAGTCTCCTCAGTGGGGCGAAAGCTATTGCAGGAGGGTCAAAGACAATTACAATTTCAATATGTTTTATTGTGGGAATTGCACTAATCTGTTATTTTTCTGTATATTTGCCAGAGGCAACTGGGCTGCAGCACGCACGCCTTTGGGTTAATATGTACGACTGGCCGTATTGGTAATGCTCCCTTATGTATAATGGGGTGTGCAACAGCTGGTAGAAACGTTAGTGTTGTTTGTGTTGGTGGTATAAATGTTAGCGTTATACTGTAGAGAGAAGAAATGTTGTGTTTTAATGAATGAGCTGCTTTAATAAGACTCACACTGGCCTCAGACTTATGTTCAGCAAAATGCTGTATGTAAATGACTAAACCCTGCTGATCTCCACAGCTCTGCGTGTATTACTGCACTCCTGACTGGGCCCAAGTACTGTGTGAGTAGTACCTGCTGGTGCCTTCCAGGCTATAGAAAACCGAGTAGGTTAGCTCGTCTCCATGTGGTTCGGCTGGTTGGCGCCAGGTCAACTTGATGAAGCGAGTGGAAACCAGCGAAGCCACGACGTCTCGTGGTGCTGACGGAGTGGGCCCTGCAGGAGCAGCTACACCTCCGGAGCCTGGTGTTACATGGTCAGTAGTGTTAGGAGTCAGTGGAGGGGGAGGGAAAAGGGGCAGGGCTACATCTTTGGATTCAGGAGGAGGAAGGAGGTCGGGATGGCGAGGGGGACGGGGAAAGACAGCAGACGGCAACAGCATTGGGAGGCAGGAAGAGGGCGAGGTGGGGGGGCAGGAGAAACATTGAACAGAGGCGTCCACATAGGAAGAGTTGGAGGAGATGTAAGGAGAGGAGATGGAGATGAAAATGAAAGGAAAGAAAGGAAGGAAGGAAAGAAGGAAACAAAAAAAAGAAGAAAAAACAAAATAACAACAACGTAACAAAAAAGGACTTTTGGCGAGACAAAAAATTAAACACTTTTACTACAGTCACAAAGCTGACAATTAAGAGCACAATACAAGGGGATTCTACACATGCATGTCTACACAGAGCACTCCAACGTCAGGGCAGTGGGAGCAGAGACGAGTGGCACACATTTCACTGTCAGACACCTCCTCCCTGCCAATCAGTTAACATTTAACAGGTGATTAGTCGGCAGTTTTGTGACATTTTTATTGACTTATAAATTAGCGAGCGTTGGATGGAAAACACAAAAAGACGCTGTTTGAACAGGAGACAAATCCACCTTCCAGATCTTGAAAAGCACACAAGCAAACAGTCTGGATGTTCAGGAAATTAAACGGTTCAGTTTCAGACTGAGGGCTAAGACCTAAACCTGCCAAACCCTTAATTCTGTTGCCTGAGTTCTTTCAATACCGCGTCAGGTGATGTTTTTAAACACTTTGGTCACATTCCACAGCCAAGCCACAGAAATGTTTGTGAGCTCATTTGGTGTTTTTTTTTTCTTCTTTAACAATCTGCGGTCAGACTGAGTGAGATCTGTTTTCCATTTGCCTGGAGAGTGGGTGAAACATAACTCAAGAGGAAAAATGTCCAGAAAGGCAGAAGTTAAATAAAGAGATGAAGTGAGTGTGTAGAGTGCAAACACTGGAACATCATTAAACAACTGTAGAAACAGAGACACAAAACCTCAGCTGTTCTGTTGACGTTTGGCCATTTGAGCAGGATTACACACGCACTTGACTTTCAATGTGTGTTTACATTCAAAGGTCCACTTCACCTCAATGTTTGTGATCACAGTGACGTGAAGAACATACTGTAGTAAACTAACATACATACACATGTCTGAACTCAGATGTGTGTACGTCACCATTCACACATACACCACTGCAAACCTAAATATCCTGATCTGACCTCCTCGGTCTGTACCAACTTCTAAAAAAAAAAAACTAAAAACTAAATTAAAATCCTGTACACAAAGACCACATGGGTGAGCACAGTATCGAACTGCTGACCTTTTTGATGTGGGGCTTTAGCACAAACCACTACACAACAGTGCTGCCTGGAAAGGTTGTAATTTCATTTGTGTAGAGATGTTTTATACTTTGATTTTATGCCACCACATAAGTAGTTTATCATGCAAATAATTATGTTATTATAAACAGTATTTCTTTAATGCAGTTTGCAACTTTTATTCCCCACCATCTGCAGGATGTTTTAAAGTGAATGGTGTTTTACAAAGAAATTAAATGATAGTTTTTGCCTGCAAACTAAGGCACAGTGCTAAGGCCAATCACTGTGACATGTGGACGTTTTTAAGAAAGTGTTCTGTTCCAAGTCATATCCTTAATTATGGAAAAAAAAATGTAGAGCAGAAGAAAAAAGGGCAGAAAGACTGACACTGGACACTGATGTCACAGTGATGAATATTCAAAGCCACGACTATCAGTGTCAGTCAGGCTGTGACTGTGAGTGAACGCCACCTTAATGACTCCTAATGGATCATGGGAACAACGGCCTCATAAGAAAACACTTGTTACGTTTTGCAAAGCTCAGAATCAGTACACTTGTCAGATGAGTGAGTCTGATCCTGACGCCGATCTGACAACTCTGTCTACAACGACTGTTCTCTAAGACACAGCCTCAGAGCTGGGACACGAGCTCTTCAAAGTCAGTCAAGGCTGATCTCACATGTTTCTTTTTTTAAACTGAGCTGATTTCAGACTTATCTTAAACTCAGACAGATGTAGATCAGGCTACTGAAGTGAAGAATTCCCCGGGTTTTCTGGTCTCTCGTTCATGAATTTGTAAAAGAAAATCTAATCCAATCATTTCAAACCAACTTGCCTGGCAAAGGATCAGCTTCAGTATCTGACAAATTGTTGTCCTAATTCTTTCAGACTACAGTAGCAATTACCGTTTTTTTTTTTTGCAATTATCCTCACTTATAAAGCTACAAACACAAAAGAAAAAAAAGCTCAACACAGCAGTGTTCTACATGAACAGTGATGGGATCAACACAACGTCAACACACCATACCCTGATAGGATTAGCAGCAGCTTTAGGCCTGTTTGTTGAGGAGGAGACACATCCACATCCTCCATGACTAATACAAGGAACAATTACTGTCACCATTTAATTGTGATTCACCTTGTAAATGAAAACAAAGGATTTCCAAACAACAACGTGCAAAAGCCTACATTTCTTAATAACAGCACAAAGACTTGGACGACTGCGAAAACACTAAATTAAATAATGGAGTAGAGAAAAGCAGGGAATAAAAGAACCATAATAAAAACATTATTTATTGACACTGAGCATCTTAAGCTGGGATTAGCTGAGGCAAACCCAGACTCACAAACACTGTGTTTAAAACCAAAGGTATCAGAGCGGTGATGTTTTGCCTGGGAGGCAGAACTCAAACAGTGAGTTTTGATGCCATGCAGTTCAAACAGCATGTAATTCATATATAAGCCAAGAGCCGAATCAATTATTAAATGAAAACCAATGAAGGAGTATTGGAAACCTGGTCAGGTGAAAATAAACAAATTAACTTAGGGTTGAACTCAGCTTGTTTGTTGATCCAATGGCCACAGAATTCAAAACTAACTTTTAGTGCCTGATAAGAGGCACAAAATAAATATCTTTTATGGGATGATAATTTTTTATTATTATTATTCATCCACAGATTAGGAATCTTTATGATCATAATAGCCTGAGATAAAGGATGGGCTACAATTCAGCTTGTAACATAGAACTCAAGGTAACAACAGTAGTAATTATAACCTTAGAAAATGAGGAAATATAGTGACAACAACGGTAATCAAAACTTCAGTCGATAACCAGAAGCAGTCAGGCTGAGGAACGTCTGTTCTCCTATATTTGTGTCACTAATTACCATTTTTCTGACATTAAAAACACATTTAAAAACCATTTTCCCCGCAAGGTTCTACATCTTTCCTATATACACAAAACGGTGAATAGGAGAAAAAAAACACAACAAGTTTAAAATCCCACATGTCCACAATAATGTTTGGTATGAGTCAGATTTGCATCATCTTGAAACAAACTTCTGCCTGTTGAGAGTCAGAACAGACGGCAAAAGTTCAGACAAGAAAGTTTTTTAAATGATGAGATGTATTTACAGACACATCGTTCTTCAAAAAAACTACTTCCACAAAAAGATATATATGTTATATACAGTATATCTAAATATATATATAAATATATACATATATGATACATGTAGATGTACATATATGTAGATATATGTATACATATATATTATAAATTGAAAAGACTGGGAATTGAAGCACTATCTAACTGTCTGTGGTCAGACTTGTTTCTATAAATTGAATTAAATACATACTTTAACTCATTTAGGAATTTGGTCAGGGATCAGACCCATAGTCTTCTCACTGTAAGGTAAACCAGTCCATTCCACTGTCTGGCAGCAAAAACTGTATTTTTGTATGTTGGAGTTTGTTGTAATTCTAAGATGAAATAAATTATAACAAATTGAATAAAACAAAGCAAAAGACTTAAGTTTGGCCAAATTATTATTTTGCTTCGCCGTGCTTTAACTGAAATTGCTTTGTCAATGGAAAGTCCATGGAGACTGGCCCAGCTGCAGTTCATGTTGGGCTCAGAGACAGTGATATACAACAAGGGAGACTTAAGTGCTTTTCTAAAGAGAAGGGCATTTTTCAGGGGTCAGTGAGGGTCATTTTTTTCAATAGTACAGAAAAACACTCAGCGTGTCGTACAGACGACTTGTTCCTTTGGCCCAGTCTGAATCAGTGAATAAAGGGACTGATATATGATGTTGGCCTTTTGGAAGCAAAAATGTAACAGAACCAAAGCTTGTCTGGAAATACATTGTGGGAGAGGCTGAGGAAAGAATGCAATCTTGATACAACTTTTTGAGTGTAGGTAACTGACATGCTGGCCACGAGTCAGTGTGATTCTGTCAGTGTGCCTTGTACATACGTGCCCAGGACTGTTACAGTACGGAGATGTCAGCCTCACGCTGACACTGCCAGGCTCTATTCATAGCTGATTAATAGTGTCATTAGTCTCTGCGCCAGAGGTAATGAATGTCTGGCATTATGGCTTAACGAGGAAGGTTATTCTAGAACTGCATCATAAATCTGTGGATCCAATACAAAAAAAACTGCTGGGACAAAGACATGTACACTAAAGTATTCATCTTAATAATACACAAAAGTAAACCTTCTTCACACGCGTATCAAAACTGCAGCAGTGTTAAACTTCTGATTAATTTCTCCCAACTTCGACTTCTCCCTTTTGTTGCCGGCTCTGTAATCCTTCATTGTGATGCCTTGTGAGCACAATGTAAAGTAACTGCAAGTAGTTTTTTTCATCATCTGCTCTGGTCTGAGTCCGCAGATAAGGGAGCCTTACCTCACAGGCTCAGACTATGCAACAGCACGGAGACGGCATAAATCTACTGATTACACATATCTGCCAGGAGCACCGCAGCACTGTGGCTGCAGATAGGCTTTTTACAGGGACTCAAGTCTGCCACGCCAGCCTCTTACAGAATGGCTTTTCTCAAGACTGCGTTCCTGTGTCTAATGCGATTCAGTAATGATGACCACATGAGGGACAAATCCAACTAAATGCTAATGGTTTGTTACCATGTCCTTCGCTTATCTGCCACAGAAAGAGGGGCAAACACAGTGTGAGTCAACAATACGCTAGGGAAGAAAGGAAAACAAACGCAGAGCAGGACGTCTGTTAGAACGGCTGATCTTTGTTGTGATGTACAGAGATGACATTCTTATGTGAGAATGTGAAAAAAGGAAAACAATTTACTGTACAAACAGTGCTACAAACAATAGAGCTGAGGAAAATGCACTCAGACTTTTGTGTAAAAAGTCTCTCAAACCTAATTCAACATCACCTAAAACTTAATTTAAATTCTTACAGTTTTAACTGATTTTAACTCCCAGGTTGAAAGGTTCTACAAAGTTAATTTAAAAAAAATTCTAGATTTCTACCTTAACTTGCCTCTATGCAAACACATTGATTTTCTTGCCGCACATGTAAAAAAAAAAAAAAAAAAAAAAAAAAAAAAAAAACCCGGACGGGAGGTGTCGGGTATGGCCTGATTTTGGAGCTCACTTACAGGTTAAAACAAGTTAAAACACCTAGCTTTTAAAAATATTTAACCAAGGAAGAATTAATAAAAACACTAACTTAGTTAACAGGGATAATAACAGTGGGCAATGATAGAAACACAAAGGAAAAAAAAATTTTGCTGGAAAAAATATTGACAGAATAAATCATTTTGACAGTTTTATCCAATTGTTCATTTAAATATTCATTATCCAGGCGGGAGTTGATATCATCTGGATGAGTTATTAAAACACAAGCCGGAAATGTGTTATTGCCCCATTTAAAAAAAATTAATGCCTAAATCTACTGCAAGAATTGGATCCCATTAGAAACGCTATGTTAGAGTGGGTTTAAAATACAGAGATAAAACAAAGATAATGAAAATAATCACTTTAATGTGATGCAGGAGAGAGAGAGAGAGAGAGAGAGAGAGAGAGAGAGAGAGAGCGTCGCGCCCACACCGCCGCCGCTTCTTAATCTTCTTCACCTTGCTCCTCTTTTTAATATAAGAGTGAAAAGAAGAGGGAGTCTGACAGCTCATTACATCTGAGCAGCTCCTTAACTCACACACAAAAGAAAAATCCCAGCCATTGAAAAGAAACTAATTTTTCATGAGGAAACGAAGTGAGAGGTGAAGAGTTGAACAGCAGGAGTGTAAAAAAAAGAGGCAGAGAAAAGCATGAAGTGATTTTTTTTTTTGGTCTCATAAGATGGGCATCTATAAAGGATAAGGATGAGATTTATGCACAATGTAACACTTGAATGTCTGCTAACATGTGCTAAGCTAGCATAGGCTGGGGTCTGCACCGCAGCCTGACTCCTTATCATGGAACTGATACAGTATCAGTATCTAAACACATTTGCTCTCCTGCTGTGATTATCAGAGACAGTCAGAGATTAAAGAGCTGCTCCAACATCATAGAAGCTTCAAGTGACAACATCTTACACACACACACACACACACACACACACACACACACACACGTGCCAAAACACAAGAGGAGGATGGAGGGAATAAAACCCTTTGTGTTTCAAAGTGATACTCCCCAACATCTCTGACAACTTCTCCGCTGCAGCTTTCCCCCCAAAAAACTTTCCAAGGCTAGATCACATAAAAGATTTTAAAAACTCACCCAGTTCCACTGGTGCAACAATACAATTAGATTTGATTCATTAAAATGGAAAAAATAAAATAAAGAGTATTTCTTTTTGTACTTCTTCTCACATTAATTCTGGGAGATTTTCTGTACGGTTCATCACGTTGATGAAGAGGCCAGAAATGACACACCAAAGGGAAATAAAGTAGACACTTTGAGAGGTCAACATTTACATCAGACGTGGCCAATGACTGGCCCCCAGGGGCCAATTATGGTACTTGCACGAATTTTATGTGTCCTGTGACATCTTTCTAAAAATAAAAATTTCATGACCTGCCATCAGAGGAGATAATGAAAATTTTAACACAGGCTTTTTTCACTCTATGAAATATGCTTCAAGGGCATCTTAAATAGTTTCTGGGATCCTTTAGGAAATATTGGTAGCTTTATTTGAGCCAAGTCTTCGTTATTTTTCACCAACTGTCTAGCTAGCTTATAGGTAACATCAACTTTTAGGGATGAAATTTAATTAAAGAATGTTATTTACTTATAGCAAGTCATACAGCCAGATTTTAACACCATTCACCACTTACCTATTTATTAATCCAGAAACCTTCCGAGTCATTTTTTGATTATTTTGACTAGACCCTAAATATTTTGGTCAAACATTTGGACATCTTTGAGGCCTTTTTACGCTATTATTAGAGCTACATCTTAGTCATTTATTTAGTCATATGTATGGAAATCCTTGTTGAATTGTAGTACATTTGTATATTGCTTAAATTTAGACTACAGTATCATAGGAGCCTTTGTGTATTTTACTACGGTGTAATAAAACACTGGCCTCTGTTGAATAAATCTTAGACAAACCCTGCTGACGTGGTCCTACAAGGAATAATGAAATATTAAAGTTTCAGTTTTTTGAGCACAAATACAAACAGCAGATATTACTGTAGTCTCTAGCTGTTTGATTTATCAAGTGTAAAGGTCACTTCTGTGACCAAATTCTTTAAAAGAAAAACAACAACACAAGAAAGAGCCCGGCAGCTTCTTCACTTGAACAAACACAGCCCATAAATGCTGATATAAAAGGCTTGGAGTGGGTCACAGATATATTCATGAGTCCACAGTGCCTTAACGCTTCTTGGCAGCCAAGATAAAGTGGGATGTGAAGGGACCCGTCTGATAGTTCAGTGGGGCTCCTGGATGCCATGTGGTGATACACTAAATACTTTAGCAGGAGGGAGGTGTTTTTGCACTGCAGTCTCTTTATCAGGAGCTAAAACCTTCTCAACCTCCTGTACAAGCTCTTGTTTATCAAAGTGGGCCTTTGAAACCCTGCAGATATTTCCTTTTAAATGGGAGAGTTTGTTCAATTTTATATTCATCCACGGTGTAAATCCAAACATTCAGGGAGTCTCTGTGCGCCTAGATCAACAAGGCAAAGGTGTTTGAATGAGGTGCAGTATGTTTTGGACGGCTCCACGGTCTACAGTATGTCTGAATCTGCATCCACCCTTGAACTTCCAACCTCTTACCTCACTGCTCTGCTCGGCCTGCAACCACGCCATAGAAAGATTAAAGAATTAATCATTACTAGATCATTATAGTTGGTTTCAGGATCCACTAAATACACCTCTCCCAGCGGGGACGATATCAGATCACCAACAGTCAAGTCCAGACGACAGGGAGAGGAGATGGAACAGGAGATAGAGGACTACACCTTAATAGTATTTTTATGTAGTAATATATACTATGTTTTATACGTATTTATTTGTTTTCCCGATTTTCTATAAATGCACCACATTGCTGGTTTTTTTTGGGGGGTGGTTTACATTTGAATATTATGCTTTTAGTTATTTCAGGGGAATGTGTTTAATATTGTTGGAACTGAAAATGGCCAACATGTTAAAGAACCAAACCTACTGCATCCATAGCTCCTATCTTACTCAACAAATGACCATATTTGTGAACGCCGGCTTAAATTAAATGGTTGCTTCATCAATAATTTACTCTCCACTGTGTGTACATGAAGTCATCCTGCTTCTAAATGCATGTACGTACATGATCCACAAGCCACTGGTGAGTTAATTTGGGCGTGATTGCTTTGTTCCTCTGAACGCCTTGTTTCAACACACTCTCCTGCAGAAACACGCACCACAATTAGGCTGACAGCTGCTTGTTCAGACTCGGCATGCTAATTAAGACCAGCAAGTACAGTTTAAAAAAATGTCTCCCCCTTCCCGTCCCCCCATCACACTTATCAGTCCATATCTTACGCATCACATGCTGCACATGTTGTCCAAGAGTGGAAAGACAGGCCTTGTGGGTCCTTCTCTGAAGTAAACCACAGCAGCCTGTGATGTCAGACATCTCTGGAGTATTTTACCACCAAAGCCCAGAACTGGACCCGTGTTTTTCTTTCTGTAAGACCTGCCTCTGTATCTTATTATCTCAAGGGGGCACACATACTATTCCACCTTTCCTGGGGATCAGGGAAAGCCTGAAAATTGAGTAATTGATTTCAGACAAAACACTGTGTGTGAACAATCTCATGTATAAAATGAGTGGTGCAGAACAATCAGGGAGAACCATAAAGGTCAACTAGGACGGTAGCAGAAGTGGGAGCAGCTGCGTCCCCATGGGAAAGGCTCTAACAAACAGCCCGACTAATCAAACTCCAACCAATAAAGTGGTCTATTTCTGACTCACACCCACTGAGAAGTGGGCATCACACCCTGTTAGCCGGCAGCATGGTGTCCACAGCCCACTGTGATGTCTCAATGATCTACTTTTAGCTTATGGAAACTGGGAGGTAGAGTGGTGAGCAGTGGGAGGGTGGCGGTGGCTAACAGGAAAAATAAAAGCTCAGGCTCTGGTGGTGCTGCCCGCTGGGGTCAACTGCCTGCAGCTATGAGAGGAGTGTGAAGGGAAAATGATGTTTAAGAGCCGTTCGGTACTTCCAGTTACTGCACCCAGAGGAACGTCTGTGTCCAAAACCATCAGATTGACATCCTCGACGAGTGTGCGTTGGCCCTGTGTCGACCAGAGTGCTAGGAGAAAAAAAAATCAAACAGACCACAAACACAGGTGTGCAGCAGTCAGGCCTGAACGTGGCGCTGATAACAGGAGTGACCTTCAAAAGCAGGACAGAGCCACTCACTGAGGGCTTCTTTAATCCCATTTTTGTCTTTTTCGTGCAGGACAGGAGCGGAACACTCATCCATAACCTTCTGCAGTTAACACTTTTGGGCGACAGACCATTTATAAATGAGGCAAAGCTTTCACCACGGTTGGGTAAATATAACCCGTAGACGAGTTCAGCCGCCGCTGAGCGAGCCTCAGCTTGTAAACACACACGCAGGCGCGCACACAGAAACGGCACAATCCCAGGAGAGACACAGCCACAGCACAAACACTTAGTTTACCATCAGCGTCTGCACAAACACAACTTTGGTGCAGCCTTGTTTTAGCTCCTCACAATCAATTCTACCAACAGTTTTCCAGATGAGCGTCTGAAAGCCTTGGATAGGGAAACACATTCACTAATCACCATCAATAACATGGCATTCCACTCTGCAAGCCATTTTCCCTGTGTGTGTGTGTGTGTGTGCGCGCGTTTCTCCGTTGTCACATTTTATCCGAAAATCTGATTTTCATTAGGTTTTGCTACGAGGCAGCATTTAGTGGAATGTATTCACATTTGCATCTCATTAATATTTCTCATCAAATTTCCCTGTTCTGCTTTATATTCCCTTCTGAAGACGACAAGCATTAAAAAACATAACTACAGCGCTGCCAGTTAAACAATATTATCATA